CATATTTTCTGGGTAAAGAAAGTAATTTTAAAATTTAATTTTCAAAGGGTAAAAGATAATGTAGAAAAAATTACAAGGAATGTGAGAATATTACAGTATATTAAAAAAACCAAAATATATATGTATAGTAATATAATATAAGTACTAAGAAATGTATTTTGTTAAATATGTATTTATTTTTTGCTTCTTTTAATACTTATTCTCTTTGTCATACGCCTACTTGGCAGTTATAATCGTCTAAAATAGGTTAAGCCGTTTCCCGAACCATCTACAATGTTCAGTTTTTACGTACTGTCTTAGGTGAATTGAACTTTTGCTTACCATTTTAACCGATCCTCTCCATAATTAGACATCTTATATATATAAAACAAAGTCGTGTTTGTTACGACACTTATAACTCGAGAACTGCTGGACCGATTTTTATGATTTTTGTTTTGTTGGATATGTCTTCACCCCAAATAGCAGAATAACTATTAAAACATCGGAAAATTACACGTAAAAAAAATAAAAAAAAACTATTCCATACTAAGCGTCAAAACGTACCTAGAGACGAACTTGAGCGAAGCGAGGGTGAGTCACTAGTTTTCTATAAACTACAAATTATAAATCTACTCAGTAAGTCTTATTAAGGAATTTTATAATTCTATTTCTAATTTATGTACACCGAACTATTACAAATGTAATTTATGGTAAAATCTTGAACATTTATGCAAGGATACAATATAGATAGAAAGTTTTGGTATTTATTAGTATTGACCAAAAAAATTACACCATGCAATAATCAACATAATAATATTATTACATCACTTAGTGCTTAAGTGTGACTTATAGAAGCTTGCACTCTGCTAATTATGCGAGCACCAAAAATAATGCTGACTTTGTTTCATAGACATTTAAAATACTTTAAAACCTTTAAATTCTTCTCATATATGTGTACATTTAGACGTCTTTCTTATTTAGATACACTAGCATTGCCCGCGGTTCCGCCCGCGTCCAGATGACCAAAAACCAAATTCTTAGGTTTTACATATTAGTATACTCTTACAATGCAGATTTTGTATTTTTTCTCAGAAATGACATATTTTCCCGCGGTAAAAAGTATCCTACGAGTATATGTTGACCCGGATAACTAGCTATCACCATACCAAATTTTATCAAAATCTCTCCAGTGGTTTTTTGTGATGCGGTAACAGACAGACAAACCGACAGACAAAAAAATCTAAAAACTATAGATTCGGCCTCTGTGTCGATAATAATGTGTATTTCAATAAGATTCTTCAAAAAATATTTAATGTACAGATTTGGCTTAGTTACAATTTTATTATATGTATAGATATATTCTGTAGTATTCAATTTATAGAGTAAAAAAATAAATTACTTTCTATATACAATATAAATAATTTTAGTAATAATATATACACATATGTAGTATGTATTTAAATTAAAAGTAAAACGAAACCTTTTAAATAATTTATTACACGTAAACTTTTACATCCAAGTAAAAAATAGAAACCACATATTTATATATAAATTTAAAAACGTTTTAACTGAAAACATGGCCTGTAAACGTTGTTTTCTCCAACAATTAAACTACCGGTTAGATTATATCGTCGACGGAACTTTTCACCTAATTACTTAGGCTGTATTAATATAGGGAAAGCGGCATAAAAATAGGTCATATATTGGCGAGTGAGAGAGACGAAAAATAGTGCAACAAATTGTGGTATTGCGCTATCTCTTTCTACCGGCGGAAATCAATAATGGCATCTGGCCACGTGGAGCCAGGAAGCACAGCCCGTTCCATTTACACTGGCCGAACGTCGCCAACGGACGACTTTGACGTTCTATTATTCGAAAATTGAATTTGAACGTCTTAGTCCAACTGAGACTAATATAAATCTGATATGAATCAAAGGTGAACTCAGAAACGAATAGATCATTAACTTTATTAGAGTAACTAGTTCAAAATATCTGCTCAGAAGTTTAATAGCTTTACAAGTTTTTTAATATTTTTTTAAATATTAATTAAATATCATTATGATTTTTGGATAAAAAATATTAAAAGATATAATTTATAACCCATAAAAATATTTTTATTCAGACGCTGTGTTAAAGGATTTGTCATAGATGTTACATTTACATCTATTTCTTTACCAGTAACGCCATCTGGTATGAAAATCAAAATAGCAAAAGCCCTAACAAAGCATCAGCTTATTATAGAGTGATGTTCTGTCTGAACTAAGTATAAGACAAACCGCCCACTGTAGCAATCCTAAAAAGAAAATGCCAATAGATGGCGCTATTAATTGTAGTTTATTATTCTCACGCAAGAAAACAAGAGGCGCTGTGGTGTTTTATCGAATAAACTAACATGACAACGTTATTCCCCGGCTAGAGATTCCACTGTAATACAATAGAGGGCGCCCAACATAAGTATGTTTATGAAAATGTTATGTATTATATATCTACGCAACATGGTAATATATATATATTATATATATATATATATATATATATATATATATATATATATATATATATGTATATTATATTAAAACAATACAAATAAAATATTGTCTGTAACAAGTATATATCGCCCTTGAGAAGTCTATACTATAACCTTAGTCTCTCCCGTAACCATGATTGCCATGAAACGTCGGGAACTAAAAATCAAAAAAAATCCGCGAAATAATCCAAAAAGATAGTTTTATTTTTTGAATTGCATTTGTATCTAGATGCAAGCAATTTCTGCAACTTCGCCCGCGCTCATACACATAAACAAACTCTTCTTCTTCTTATAGTTTCTAATAATTTGATGGTTGAAATGTTTATCAAATGATTTTTTTTTAATTTATTTAATCATTAAATATAAAAATCGGGCAAGTGCTAATTTAGACTCGCGTATCGGTTTCCGTACTGCCGGATATTGTGTTGTTTTACTAACATATTTCTACACTAAAATATAATATTTACTTTTTTACTACACATTCTTTATTGATTCGAAAATAAGTTAATATTGAAAAACTAGTAAACGTATATTCTGCAAAGCTGTAGTGACTAATTTTTTTCCGATTTACCTACCCTATTTTTAAAAAGTTAGATGAGGAGGGTGATGTGATGAAATGTTCACGACTTTAGAATCATTATATTGGAGATGTATTGTACCCTCTCCTTATAACTTTTAAAAAATGGCAAAGGAAAATCTGCAAAAACAATACAATATTTGGCGATACGGAACCCTTAATACGCGAGTAAGACTAACACTTGCCCGATTTTTAATAATGGGAGAAAACTTTAATTTATTTTAATGACAAACAAAAAATATTTTATAATACATAGAGATGAAAATTTTGTTTTCTTTTTTTTCGGGGTCGTTTCAACGTGAGAAAAGCGGGCGTAAATACATAGGTATATTAGCATCTAACACAATATTTAATATGGGTAGACCAATCGCTAAAATTCTACCGTATTTTTCCGCTTTCGCCACCGTGTTGACTATTCAGACTCTTTATTTGACCATCCTCGAATCGTCTTTCAAACATTATTTGCTTTATTACTTCGCAACCAATATACGTCTTATGGCACCTTTTATGAATCATAAAAGAAAAATATATATTTATCGCTTAGGTATATTGCATATTCCAAAACTAGAAACCATCTGACGCTTTTTACTTTTCCTACTAATACTATAAATACGAATGAATATGAGGATGTATATATGTATGGATGTTTGTAATTCTTTCACGCCAAAACTAACTAAATGGATTTTAATGAAACTACAATAATATAACTCATACATCCGAATAACACATAGGCTACTTTTATCCCGGAAAAATGTACAGTTCCCGTGGGATAGATTTGTTTTTGTTTTTCTAGAGGCGAACCCGATCGAGGCGAGGGTGAGCCGCTAGTATTATATAATTTTCATAAAATTGTACAATATCAATGTTTTACCGGGTATGTTATGGCACTAAGGCTTCTAAATTCTAATGTGTTTCAAATTTTCGCGCGCTTGGTTACTTGCAGTCTGTCATCTTAAATAGTTTGTTAACAAAAGTTAAATGACGTGCGTGCCCCTTGGAAATATTTTAGAAAACAGTTTTTACGAAGATTCAATATAATATTAGAAGGATTTCAAAGGTGATCTACAATCGCGTATGTTAAGGTAACTGGAATTTGTTTTTGTTGTAAACATTAAGTGTGTATTAATGTTAAACGAACATTGGTTGAATCTTTATTGCGACATGTTTTTATGTTATATAATTACTTTGTTTCTCTTCGGTGCGCTTGAGGCAAAACCGTACGGGTGATATTATTTTGTATGAGGAATTGTTCCAAAAAGAAAAAGGTTACAGACGATAAGTGATGATTGGTTGCAATGTCTTAGTCTAATTTTTAATGTCTATAAGGAATGGGCTCATGAAGGCTGTACTGGTTGGGACCAAGATGAAGTGAAAGAGTTCCATTGGTTCCTTGTTATGGGGTAAAGTCAGGTATAACAGGTGGATGTACCCGGTTTCAGACCAGGTATCGGGCAAACCCGTAAAAAGTTAACTTTTGAAAAAGATTTTTTTTACTAATAATAATGAAAACAGTGATCTTGTTGATTAAGTCTAATAAATTGTTTTATAATGTTTGAAAATATATTTCTTTAATTTAATATTTCCCTTTGTGCCCCATCTCACTTTCCTATACTGTTGATAATTTGCTAGTTGTAACAAGACGACAAAATTTGGGAGTTTGATTTATATATGTCTGGAATGAATGCTAGTCTGGCAAAAACAAAAGCTGCATCCCAAATAATAAATCAATTAATTTTTGGGATGGTAATGGGGATGGAATTATTCCCAAATAGTAATAAAGTTGATATATTAATTAATGATTCCTTAGTGAAACTTGTACAGAATATAAATATATGGAAAAGATTTTTGAGATTAAACGTTAGAAAGTTCCAGTTTTATAAACCATTTGTTTTAATCTTTATAATATTTAAAAGCTTAAGTTACATGGCTTTGAACATGACTTAAGCCCGAACAGCCTGTTGGGAGGAAGCAATCAGTGAAATTGAATATTTTGAGCCCATAGCTTAAGAGATCTTGGGGTAAATTTGAGGTACGAGTTTCGTACGGTTTCCTATAGTTACTTTTTGTATAATGTTATTGTAAATACAACGAAAAACATTATCCGTAAAACTGTAAACTCTGTACATTATAGAGCTAGGTATTCTTTATAAATTGGAAAATGAAATTTATTCAGTAAATCAGAGGATATAACAATAATCAGACTTTGTACATATAAAGAAACTAGATTTAAACATTAATGATATGTACATTTTTTTATTTAGATTTTGATTTACCTATTTTATTATGATATGCACACAGAAAATACGCAGAATATCCTAATAAAATAAAATATATTAGAGACCAGAAATACTGCAAAAATCTAGCTCATGTTCGACAATAAAAAAATCGAACTTCGACTGTTCAATATTGAAGTTTACGTAAAGCTATTCATTAGGACTATACATATTAGTACCAGAGTATAAAAAAATAATTCAATTTTGATGACGAATGGTTTTGAATATTAAGCGTATAGTGCTAACTCATGGCAATTTAAAGTTATACGTTCGTCAACCCTAAAGCCGTTTCCCGAATGTCATATAAAAGTATATTATGTATGATTGTCGGAAGCGTTTCACATCTCACTTCGCACGCCCCGATCTAGACGCTTTCGTTAGATGATCGTATGTTTAGTAATCTTTGAGAGTACTGATCAGAATATCATTGGTCTTTAAAATACCATAGTGTGTAGGTACCTAGTTATCCACATACTGTGTACTACGTAACTATGTGTATACTGTATATAGAGCATGAATACATATTTAAAATATTAATAGATATTCTCATAGCAGATAAACTCACATAATATCCCCGAGCTTAAGGCGCGTATGTATAAGCGCACAGGTCTTATGGTCGGAGACGGCGATGGCGGCGCGGCGGCGGCGGGGCGGGCGCGGCGACGCCGGCGGCGACTCGCGCCGCGCGTGCACTCCCGGGGAGCTGCCGCGCCGGCGCACCGACGCGTGCCGGCCTCCCACGCCACCCAGCATCCTGGAAAATTAAACTATCTCTTAAAAATTACATTGGCAAAAACTTATTTATACACCAGCAACTTAGGTGCCAAAACACCAGAATAACCTAAGTGCTGCTCAGGTCATAGTCTGTGTAATGAATTTCATGCAAATCCATCCGTTCAACCGTTTCAGTGTGAAGGCAAAATAAAGATATACTTAAAACTTCAAAAAAACGCTATTCTAAATTCGGCACAGAGATAAATGAAGTAATCCTAGGTATACCTAACAGATTTCAATTACGGTGGCCGCTGAGAATATCCATCTGTACAGGAAAAAAATATTATGTTGTAGAATTAAGCATACAAACACAGGTACACTATTCCTTACATTCTCAAACTCCGGTGTTACAACAATTCGATCCGACTTGAGAGATCAGGCGCAAACCGGTGTGTATTCCCCAAAGTAATTCCAATTGGTATAATTAACTCAGTTCTGAAATTATCAATAAAAGATGGTAGTGTCCAAAAACATTGAAAGAAAAGAAAAAAATTACCCGGGCCAAGCCATGTGTACTAAATTGTGCATAATATATTTTATATCTTTAGGCGAACAATTCTTGTCTATATATATATATATATATATATATATATATATATATATATATATATATATATAATCTGAATTACGGAAACGACTCCAACTCTCGAACTCCATTCTCCGAAGCTCGGTAACCCAGGTACTTATACTTATAATAAAACGATTTTGGCGCAGTGTCGAAAATAACGCAATTAAAAGCTATTTTAGTTTTTTGCAATTTAAGACCACCACGTTCCGCGATCATAAAATAACTAATAAAACTGGCTTCTTGTCAGTTTGTATACACCCATTAAATATATAAACCTCTAAATATAAAGAAAACTATTAACTGTGTTTATTAATATGTAGTTAAAAGTGCGAGCTATGAATAATAGAAACTGCTTTGTTAAAAATCCTAATAACTAAACTTAAAATCACATTTTTTTTTAAATTAATATGATAAGTTCAAATATATAAATAATAAATTAGATAAATATTAACATGTATTACAAAATACAAATTCTATTTCCGTAATAAGAAAGGAACATCAGCGTATAATTAGCAAATCTGTATGATTAACAAATTAACAGTTAAACTGCCTATTAACGCTTTGATCTTTGATTCTTGTCAAACGTATCAGCAACAGGTGAGGTGTAGATAACTTTGTAATTAAAACACTATACATCTTAGGAAAATTTATATACCTACTACCTCCATTCTATTTGTTATATAGACATAGATATTCTTGGGTTAAAACGGACTATGATTTTATAAATTTCTGTATATGTATAACTTGAATCCATCAAATGCAATAATGCTATTAAACTAGGGGCTTATCCTCGCTTTACTCGGGTTTGTCCCTAGGTACGTTTTAACTGTTAGTGTGGAATAAATAGACTATATATTATATAATATAATAAACGAGCCTTATTTAATAAACGAGGTGTCTAATGGACGGATGGACAGACAGACAGACAGACAGACAGACAGACAGACAGACAGACAGACAGACAGACAGACAAACAAACAAACAAACAAACAAACAAACAAACAAACAAACTTTGCCTCTTATATAATACCAGTATAGATGGATTTTCTTATTCATATTATTGAATAAAGACTTATATTAATATAAAAAAGAAAAACGAAGCCACTTACATCAACAGATGAAATAGTGCATAAACCATACTAATATTGTAAATTTGAGAGTAACTGTCTTTTACCTTTTCACGCTTAAACCGCTAAACAGATTTCGATAAATTTTGGCAAGGATATAAATTGCATCCAGGGGACGGACAGTCGGACATACGCTACCTTGAATCCCGGTGCACTTACTTCGCAGTCTCGGGAAAACTTAAAAATAAGATAATTTATAAAATTTAGCCTTTTAGTTCCACGATCGGGCATGGGACTTCTTCATTCATTACAAGGATGCATAGTACACAGTTAGATAGTTCATGTAAGCCTTCCAAAATTAAAAATTAATGAAGACAAAAATATTGTTAGACACTTTAGACGGATAAAAATCATGAAGTGATACATAATATGACGCTCTAAGCAACCAATAATAACCATAGCGAGAGGCCACTAAAGTTGAACACACAAAATAAAGACGAGACGCGTAATTGCGAGTTTAACAGCTGCAATTTTTTTATATTGTTTCTAGAACAGATTTTTTTTTAACTGTCTCGAAGTATTCTTATTTGTCTTGTTATAGTTCATATTTCTCGTTTCTATGTCTCAAAGGATTTTCTTAAGTTGCGCTTAGGCTGTGGCGACTGTTCTCAAATGATAGCGTTTGTATTGGACCACAATAGCCTTACAATTTCAATGGCTTGGTAAATTCTTTTGTGTTTTACGTGTTTTAACATAATGTGAAATAAGAATAAAAAATATATTTTTTTTTTAAATTTTACTAAGCCATTTATTTTATTATTACATAAAATTTTCTTATAGACCGTTGTAGTAGTTAATTATAGTTAAATATGTTGAGACATTAACATACATCACCATCTAGTTCCATGGTAAACTACCAGGCCTGTGTTATGAATACCAGATAGTTGATACAGTACACATATGTACAACTTTAAATACATACATATTATAAATATAAACACCTATGACTGGAGTACAAACATTCGTGCTCATCACACAAATGAATGCCTCCAGCGGGACTCGATCCCGCGACCGCTGGCACAGCAAGTAGGATCACTACAATTTGAGCCAAACGTTTCGTCAAAACTATTTTAGTTTTTTTACAAATGTTGTGTGTATGTGTTTTATTAAGCCTCGTTATATTTTAAAGAATTTTACACCATAAGTTAAATACAAGTAAGACACATTAATAAAAATTACAAAACTTTGTTAGCCGACGAAAACTAATAATCCAATTCCATCTGAAATTTTTAAAACACAAATAGGAGAGATTCTAGTTCCATTTTTATCTTTTAATATACTACTCTAAAAACAGCATGTTTGTTGTTAGAAGTTGAAACACTAGTTTGTGGAAAAAGTTACGGCGAAATGATTTCTCTTAAAAAGAGGACTCATTTTTATTTCAAATATGTAATCACTCATGCAAACTTGTATGTATGCAAACTTGTGCGCATTATATGCATCTGAAACTCTGTCAAATTGAAACATTTTTCTGTAGAAAAAACACGAATATCAACGCCATCAGTACGAATATAACCTTTATTATATCGACTTATCTAATGTCATAATTTGTTGCGTAATATGGAATAGTTATAACATACTACGACGCAGATACTAGATAGTTATTGTATTAATAACGACTTACCCTCGCTTCGCTCGGGTTCGTCCCTAGCTCGATTCCCCATACAAATTTTCATCCCCATTTTCACCCCCTTAGGTGATCATTTCCGGGATAAAAAGTATCCTGTCCTTCCAGGGTCTCAAACTATCTTTTTACCAAATTTCATCTAAATCGGTTCTGTAGATCCAGAGATTACCTCTTACAACGTCACAAACTCACAAACTTTACCTCTTTATAATATTAGTATGGAGAAGTATAGGTATAATTGCATTATATAATATTTCATATTAATAATTTTTCCACGGTTCGAGACTTGAATTCAGGAAAGTAAATTTTAAATCTCTTAATTGAGTATCTCAGCTTTACTTCTTTTTATATAAAATTAATATATTACGATTTTTATTGGAGACATTTCTTTTTTTTATATACATAGATACTGGCAACCCAAACACAATTCATTTCAGTTCACTGTCCTTTTATCCTGCAATATTTTAAACGAAATTCTCTATCCGCAAAAAAGTCAAATTTCAAACTACTAAAGTCATTTTTCTTCATTTGTCTAATCCACTGTTCTTGTTTAACCCTCAAACCCACCCATCATGGATTACTAAATACATTTTTTATTGAATCATCTATCCACAGTGAAATCGGTTTGTTCGTAAAACACAAAGAAAATAAAAATATTGACGTTAATTTAGGCTTGGTTTTAGAAAAAAAAGGGGTATGGTTTGAGCTCAGTACGGAAATTTATTTAAAATGGACACATAAATATTATATTGAGGTAGGCTCTCTCACATCACGCTACAATCCTTAGAAGCGATGCAATAATTATATATCCATAAATAAACCACGCGAGCAGATCCATATTAAAATGCTAGTTTTATTGACACATTTAAATTAAAATAAGATTTGACTATGTTTAATTTACTTTGATAATAATAAATTTATACTGTGTTATCTCAGAGAAATATTCCGGATGAGCTTTAGGTTGAAAACAATTCATAATTATTTAGGTTATATTACCCTGATAGAATTCGAATATATGATATGAATTGTCAATATATTTCAATAGTTTCCAAGAACGTGACGTTAATTAATATGTATAGAGTGAGAAACGTCGGTTCAAAGGATTGTCACTTCCCGGAATTGTTATATTTGCTATATACTGCAATGTGTGGAGTATCACGTCGCATCACTTGCGTAAAGTGTCAACATGTCTATATATATATATATATATATATATATATATATATATATATATATATATATATATATATATATATATATATGTGTGTAATGTAATTTTGTTAACACTAGGAACTAATTGTAAATGCTATATTCTGTTCTAGATACAAAAGTTATATATAAGACAAAAATCAACAAAATAAATGCTTTAGGCGATATAATTATTGTACGCAATATACAAGAAACTTACTACGTATGTAATAAGAGAGTACTCATATGTTTTTTATAATCTACATAAACATTTTAAGCAAATATCGCACTACACAAAACAGTTATATAAAAATCATAAAAATAGAAAAATATACATCTTATTCAGACATGTTTTATTCGGGATATTCGCTTTCACTTAATTTAAAGGATTTCTATGCAGCTTTGGCTTTAATTAGAAGTACGCAGGATGCATAGAGTCAACGAGCTCACTACCTACGATATTGCCCAC